CCTATCACTTTGGGAGGCCAAGGTGGACAGATTGAATTGCTGAGTTAAGGAGTTCGAGACCAGCCTAGACAACATGGCAAAACCCCATTTCTACTAAAAATCCCCAAATTAGTTGGACATGGTGGTACATGCCTATAGTCCCAGCTACTGAGGAGGCTGAGGCAGAATAACTTGAACCCGGGAAGTCAAGGCCGCAGTGAGCTGAGATTGCACCACTTCACTCCAGTCTGGTGACAGAGCAAGACTCTGTTTCAAAAAATATATATATTTTTAATTTTAAGAAATTCATAGCTTTAAGCAGTCTATTGCAAATTCCATTTGATTTACAAGCAGATCCCGCTGCTATTGCCCTACTCTCTGGGAGAAATTAATGGAGCTCATTCTACTTTCCCACTGAATAAACTTTTCATGTCCAGATAGGATATGGGAGAGTGAGAGCCTTGTTCTGAAAAGTTGCTTGGTAACCAGTGACCTAACATAAATATATTTTAATTGTTAAGGTAAAGAATGTCTATGTGGGAGTTTGTTATTTCTGGTCACAAAATTCAAATGTTTAAGTGTAATTTATTTCCCCAAATACATCATAAGATCTTGGGGACAGATATTTTATCTTATAGTGCTCAGTCAGTGAATACCTAGTGACAGACTGATAGCATCAATTTTTGAATTATATTTATCCCTTTTCACAATGTGCTAACTGCAGTACAAAATTATTTCTCTATTTGGGGTCAGGTGTTTGACCATAAAAAGACAAGAAATCAAAAACAAGTAGGGAAAATGAAGCAGTATATTAAAATTTAGAAAGACCAGGCTCTTATCCAAAAGTCCTCAACCCAAAGTAATTTTGTTTATAACTTGATTTTTCCATTAGAGGAAAAATTGTTTTAGTTTACTTGGATTGATTCAGTAGTTAATATGTTTAAATTGTAGAGACTGGGTGGCCTTTTTGTTTTGTTAATGCCAGATGTAATTTTGTAATAAAATGATTTTTCTTTATTTAAAAACCACATTCAAATTGTGAAATAGGAATTCTACCCTCTTTGCTCTTCTTTTTTCTCATTTCCTTCAAATTCCTCTAAAATTGTCCTCTTGCAAATCAATGGATTTGTGAATTCTGACCATCATCCATAAGGAAGCAACAAGAATTTGTGGCCCAGATTTGTAAATAATCCCATGGATCAGATTATGGTGGCCATCTCTTTTTTGGATACAGGGACTATTTCTTATTTATCTACAGGTCCTAGAGCACATAGCACATAGAAGGTATATAAATAGTGCTTGAAAGAAAAGTATATACGGAAAGAGTAGAGAGAAAAGGCCAGAGCTTCTATGTAATAGCTTGTCTAATACTGGTGACCATTTACACTGTAGCAACAGAAATATTTTTAAGGGAAAGAGAAAAAGTCTGTAAGACATCCATGAAATAAGTCATTGTGCCCAACTCCCATAATGTATGCAGCACCTTCGGTGAGATTCTATACTCCTTACATCATTGCTACCATTTGTAAGCTTATTTTATTTTTTTATTAATTCTTTTTTCCTAAAAATATTTACAAAGGAAGCAAAAGCAATTCTGATGCAAATCAGAAGAGCAGTTGCCCACAAAAGATGGAGATTAACCAGGACTTCCTGGGGAGATGAAAATGTTCTAAATCTCAATGTGGTAAATATATTTGTTAAACTCATTGAATTACATGCCTAGGAACTAGGCAGATTAAAGAATTTATTTTTTTTCCTGCAATTAAAAATATATTTAAGGTAAATAAATAGATCAAGTAACTAAATAGATCTAATAAATAGATCAAGTAACTAAACATACTCAAAAATTAAAGCAAATACTGTTATTAAATTCTAGATACTACTTTTTATAGAAGGCTCTAAACCTGATACCTGCTTTCTTTTAAAACAAATTACTAAGCAATTAAAAAAGAATAAAGACATGTTAGTAATTATATACATATGTATACATAGATATATACACACATATACATATGTGTGTATGTATGTATATATGTATATGTGTGTATATGCATATATATATATTTTTTCCCCCTAGATGGAGTCTTGCCCTGTCACCTAGGCTGGAGTACAGTGGCATGATCTCAGCCCACTGCAACCTCTGTCTCCCAGTTTCAAGCAATTCACCTGTCTCAGCCTCCCAAGTAGCTGGGATTACAGGTGTGTAGCACCATACCTGGCTAATTTTTGTATTTTCAGTAGAGATGCAGTTTCCCCGTTAGCCAGGATGGTCTTGAACTCCTGACCTCGTGATCCACCCGCCTCGGCCTCCCAAAGTGCTGGGATTACAGGTGTGAGCCACTGCATCCAGCATAGTTTTATATCTTCTTCTTCCCTTTCCTTTATTTAGACAATATATTAGTACCCTGCCTTCTATTGTCAAATAGCCATATGTGAGGCCAGAAAAGGCAGGCTTCCCAGATAAGGAAAGCAGACCTGTGCAGAAGTGGCTAATCTGAACACAGGGCAAATCCATTTGCCATGGGTGTGGTGGCCCAGCACTACCAGAAGATTGGCCATACTCAGGGAGATTGAGCAGATAATAAATATATTGTGCATAATGAGAGCAAGGTTTTTCACTATTGGAAAGTTACAATTAAGGAAAAGATAAAGCAATAATAAACTCAGCAAATATCAGATTAAAATTGAAGGTACCAGAGTGAGCCATTAGTTTTAGTTGCAAATAGAAATACATATAAACATAAATGTGTGTGTGGTTCCTAGCTGTCTGTTGAAAGAGCCTAAGAGCAGTGGTATTCCAGTAGTAATAATTACCTCATGCTCATATCTTCATTTGAAATACAAAAATGAACAAAGGCTCCTTGAAGAAATGACTGAATCCAAGGCTGAGTCTGAGAAAGAATGTGATAAATCTGGAACACCTTTCTTTTTTTTTTTTAATATATATTTTACTGCATTTTAGGTTCTGGGGTACATGTGAAGAACATGCAGGAGTGTTGTGTAGGCACATACATGGCAATGTGGTTTGCTGCCTCCATCCCCATCACCTATATCTGGCATTTCTCCCCATGTTTTCCCTCTCCAATCTCCCCACTCCCTGCTGTCTCTCCCCTAGCCCCCCCAACAGACCCCAGTGTATAATGCTCCCCTCCCTGTGTCCATGTGTTCTCATTGTTCAACACCCGCCTATGAGTGAGAACATGCAGTGTTTTTCTGTTCTTGTGTCAATTTCCTGAGAATGATGGTTTCCAGGTTTTTCCATGTCCCTACAAAAGACAAGAACTCATTGCTTTTTATGGCTGCATAGTATTCCATGGTGTATATGTGCCACATTTTCCCTGTTCAGTCTATCAATGATGGGCATTTGGGTTGGTTCCAAGTCTTTGCTATTATAAACAGTGCTGCAATGAACATACGTGTGCATGTGTCTTTATAATAAGTAAGGAAACACTCAAAAAATGAGGACATATTAAAAGAACACAGAAGTAAGCTTGAAGGAACTGGTTCCCAGTGGCCAAAGTACAATTGGAGCAATAAAATAATACTAAAATAACAAATTATAACTCATCGAATAATCTAGTACCGCACTGATAAAAATAAATAAATGGCTAAATAAATGGATAGGCCAGGTGCAGTGGTGGCTCATGCCTGTAATTCCAGCACTTTAGGAGGCTGAGGAGGCAGTGTTATTTGAGTCCAGAAGTTCGAGACCAGCCTGGGCAACATAGTGAGACTCCAATCTCTACAAAAAAAATAAGTAGCCAAGCATGGTGGCATGCACCTGTAGTCCCCACTACTCAGGAGGCTGAGGTGAGATTGCTTGACTCCGGGAGGTTGAGGCTGCAATAAGCCATGATTGTACCACTTCGCTTCAGCCTGAGTGACAGGGTGAGACCCTTTCTCACAATAAGAAGAAATTAAATAAATGGGTAGAAGAGTAAGCTCTTCCTTACAGTAAGTAGAAAGCTTCCAATTAAATGTGGAAGGAATATTGTTTAAACATTTTATCATTTGGCAATAAACGTAATAATAATTAACCCAAGCAAGAAACTTCAACAGATACTAAAACTAGTAGGTCAAAATGAGGTAAGGAAAGAGATTTTTACATAGTCTCAAAGTATCTCAATTGAAAATATTTGTTAATTACAAAGGGAAAAAAGAAGTAGAGAAACCTGGTGGACATAATCTTAATCAAGTGATTGAAACAAACACCATCAGTAATGGTTTGTTTGTGATATGATGTTTGCACACATAGATATCACGTGCAATCAGATAGGATGGTAATGAAAATAAAATAGTAAGACTGACAGTCTGATCAAAAATGCAAAACTTAGGTCTACTCATAAGGAACCACTGGCAAACTCAAATTGAAGGATATATTGAAAAACAACTGGTCGATCTTCAAAACTGCTAAAGTATGGGTGCAAAAAGAGGACACTGTCTAAATTCTGCTTAGAGATGTTAGGAAAGGCTTATTAAAGGAGATAACTTAGATAAAGTCTTGTAAAATGAAGCCATTGTCATATGAATTAGAGAGGAAGTCATTCTAGGCATACACGACAGCATTTGCGAAGGTGTGGAATTCGGGGGACCATAGTGAGTTGGATGCCTAGAAAGCACAGAAAGATGATAGCTGCAGCCAGGGAGATGAGCTGGGGCGAAATTATGAAGGATCACTCTGTATTTTGCAGAGTAAAATGAGTACACAAAAATTGAGTGATAATTCTGGAGGCATGGAAAAGACATTAGAGTTGATGGGTTAGTCCACATCCTCTGAGAAGCAGATGCCAAGTCTGGATTGAATACAGAAGGAGTTTATTGAGAGAAATGCATGCATGAAAGAAAATATGGTAGGAGCTGGAGAGGGCAGGGAAAGTCATGAGATTGTAAAGCAAGTATGATCCCAAGTGATAATGAGAGGTAAAGATGTTCAGCAAAGCCATTCGTGAATCCTTCAGCCAAAGGAAATGACAGAGTAGTCCCTTTCTCTCCCAGGATTCAGGCTGCCTTACAATTCCTACCTCACTTTGTAGTTGGTAGGAACTAGCCCATGGTAGGCATGGCCTCAGTGGGAACACAAGACTGGACTTCAAAGTGCAGCAGCAGGGACCCTTGGTCCATTATGCTCCCTGTAATAGAAGGACAACAAAGCACATTCTCATTACCACCACATATTTTAGAAGAAGAGGTGAAGGTAATTCCAGAGAGATGTATGAAGGATTTTAAATGCAAGTATTTGGTATTTCACCTTTGTTCCTAAGTATGAATTCCTCTTCATTACAAGAGTCATGGACATTTTTTAGCTGAGCTGTGACCACATTTGTCAATCTGTGGTTAGTAAATATGAACATCTAATCTGGGAGAGTCTATCATTCTGCTTTGCCTTAATGTGGTTAGTCTTCTGTTTTTAGTCTCTGGTGTACCTGTGGAGGCTATCCTCAATATTACATAATTGTCTTTTCCTTGGAGTTACTTGATGTGTTATGGAACACAAGTTGTTGTACACTAAACACACACCGGTTAGTAACTATATATGCCTCCAATAAAAATAGGAAAATAAATTTGACTTCTCTTTAGTAGAAAGACACATTTCTTCTTAAACATTTTATTGGAGAAAATTGGTAGTAAGAAACAGCAAAAGTATTTTTGATTTTGAAAAGGTTGGGAACAATTGAAATCAACTAATTTTGTTGAGATTCCGATGAGTTTGAAAGGACTATAAATCCATAATAAAATTTTGAGTTGCTTTAGCTTATTCTTAATTGCAAATTTTCTAAACCCCATTAAAGGAAAGTATCTTTCTAGACTCATTTTATCACCTTTGGAGTATCTTCCTTCTTTATGAAGTACCTAAAAGGTCCTCCAAATTGCATAAAAAACACCTACATGACTCATTGCATTTTTGGTGAGTAATGAAATTAACACTATTTTAAAAACCTTTAAAAGTCTTTAAGTATTTAAATATTGTAGCCACTATTTAAAAAATCTTATTTACAATGATTAACTGCTAGCAGCGGGAAATTTTTTAACTCTGAGAGACAGATTCAAGATGCCCAGTGTAGATTCAAAAAAACTTAACAATGTGCCCTTTCCTCATAGGATAATGTATCTGTTCCAAACGGTGCCATTTAAAAACACAACAGAGCATTTAATTGGGTAAAAAAACGGGTGCCTAAATTTTAGAACATTTTTTCATTCAATGGTAAGAAAATTGTTATTTTAAAAATGAGATATATACAGGAGGTAGCTTAACTGAGGAATCACGCTAAAATAGCTGCTGCATGAATGATAGCTTTGACATTTGGTCTTCAAGACTATTCTGTTAAATGCTCCACTATATGTGAATAGTGCAGCAATACTTTTTGTGTGATGGTGGTGAAGAATTTCTGTTGTAGAAAATAATCATTTAATAGCTTTCATTATAAATGTCATTCCTGGCCTCATATATGTTGTAGTTACTTGTTCCTGGTCAGGAATGCATTGATTTGCTCAGAATAGACACTTATCTTTTGGAGAGCAATCCTGGTGTGGTCAGCTTGACACAATTTTTATAGGATGTTGCTATGAATTTGCTTGATTTTGGAAGTGGGTACAAAAGTCTGTTTTGGTCATTTTAATTTAAAGGCTGTCTTGTAGGAGCACCAAATCCACTGATCCTTCAGAGAAAAGGAATGAAAAGATGCAGCTTCTTCATGGGTCAAGGTTGCTGCATTGCATCTTATTCCACATGTGATGCAGCAAAGTATTATACTCCTTTTTCTTCAAGCTAGAATTGTAATTCCCAAAATTACATACGACAGACCTGAGTTAGAAAAGATAAACTAGGCTGGGAGTGGTGGCTCCTGCCTGTAATACCAGCACTTTGGGAGGCCGAGGCGGGTGGCACCTGAGGTCAGGAGTTTGAGACCAGCCTGGCCAAAATAGTGGAAACCTGTCTCTACTAAAAATACAAAAAATTAGCCAGCGTGGTGATGCGTGCCTGTAGTCTTAGCTACTTAGGAGGCTGAGACACAAGAATTGCTTAAACCCAGGAGGTGGAGGTTGTAGTGAGCCGAGATTGCACCACTGCACTCCAGCCTGAGTGACAAGAGTGAGACTCTGTCTCAATAAAAAAAAAAAAAAAAAAAAAAAAAGATAAACTATTTATTCACTTATTGCCAGATACTTATTGTGGCAGAGAGGATTTTTTAAAAAGGCATAAAATGGATTATTTCTTTAAGAAAGCCATATACAACTGTAGTGATTGAGTTTTTAAAATGTAGTCCAAATTGAGATATGCTGCAAGTGTAAAATAAACACTGCATATTAAAGCCTTAAACAAAAAAGAATATAAAACATTCCATTTTTAGGTTGATTACCTGCTGAAAAAATTTTGAATATATTAGTTTCAATGGACTATACTATTAAAATTAGTTTCACCTGTTTCATTTTCCTTTTCTCAATGTGGCTTCACCAACATATAAAATTACAATGTGGCTAAAATTTGTGGCCTGCATTGCATTTATGTTGGACAGCACTAGTCTAGAATATTCCGTCTATTGAAATCCTCAGACATCACTTAATCTCTTCCATTCTTTGTGCCTAGCACAAAATTTCTGTGAGGGAGCAGCTTAGCTTTGCAAGGACACTGGCCATCTTAATTGATGACAAAATTGAGATCCTCTAAGACAGTGTATAGAGCTGGAAGCACTCAGGTATGAAAGAACCAGATGAGGTTAAAAGGTAGAAACCTTGGCCTTTACCCTTTGACATATTGCTGGGACACATGGAAAATATAACATGAATTGAGAGATGTTTCTGTAGTACAGAAGTTACTGGACTGAGCCTGTGTGAGATCTGATGAGTTTTCATAAACCTCTTGATATTATAAACAAAATTAGTGTGCAGGTGCTGTTTTTGTTAGTGAGGCTGTAATTTTAATTAGTTTTTTCAAAGGTCCAGGAACCATGGCTTCAAAAAGAATACTAATTCTAGGAAGATGTAGCTCATTCAGACAGGTTATTATCTCATAATTACTGGTATGTAGTTATCAATGTCTGTGAATATTAGTATCCTTAATAATGTGAATATGTGCATTCATATGTCATGGAGATCTAAATGGTGTTTGGTCATCCTACAGACAGTATTTTGAGAAAACTGTATCATGGAAGTCAAAGAACATGGCAGTTGGTGAGAGACAGGTAGACTATCAATAGCATTACAAGGAAAGGCCACCTGGCTGAATTATGTCCCAGGAAACTAAGCTATTGATGAGTCAGTGAAAAAAAAAAAAAAAAAAAACTCTTGTAGTTCTCACCCTAAACAAATGTTAAAAACCCAGTTCTTTTTGGAAGAAAACATCATTCATTTCTTTATTTTTTTGGGCTATCATAGCACTTTCCTTCTATTACAGAATATTCCCTGTTTATATTCTACCTTTCAAAATTGACATATCTGTCTCACTCTATACTAAAAAGAGTTCTTCAAGAACAAGAAGCACTTTTCTTTATTGCCCCAAATGCCTTGCAAATAGACACTCAATAGATGTTGAGTAAAATAATAAGTTAATGGTTGTTGCCTGATTTCTATACATTTCAAAATAAAAGACAACCTATGAACAAACACAACTTTAAAGATTAGAATTTTGAGGGGGCTAAATAAAAGAGTAGAGCTGTACAGACTTTTAGTCAAACCAACTAGATTTAGCTTTTGACCCTGTTCAATGTTCAAAAATCAAACTGATCTGAAGAAAGATTGCATGCAGGACTGCAGCTGTGATATACTTCTACCAGGCCCAAACGGTGCTGAGTCATTCACCACAGTTCGTTTGTGAGAGAAGGAAACAAACTTCCAAGAGAAATACAAGCAGTTGTAGATCTGGGAGTCATCAGGAAATATTTGATACTTTAAAGAACTGACTGAAAGTTAAACAGGTTAATGTGACATTTCAAAGGGATTTTGAAATTCAATAGCTTTCTCTAGCAGTTGATGTTTACACTCTGGTTGTAAGGCAAATGTTTAATTTCTTCAAAGGAACAAAGATAGATTCTAGAATAACTAGATAGGTTCAACACTCACTATAAATTTTTTTTTCTCTTCTCCCTGACCCTTCCCCATCCCATGAAAAAATACTATGTATGTATGTATACAGTGGAAATGAAGAAAACATCTGGTTGGCATTTAAACATGGTTTTCTTCATCAAAGGGGTTTGTATGAAAACAATAATTTTACAGTCAGAATTACATTGTCATATAAAAGAGAAAAGCAAAATCGTAAAGAATATATATAAATTCAGGAAGAAGACATATTCTTTTTCTTACCATATCAGCAGTGTATAAAAATGTAAGATGTTTGCCACGATTAAGTGAAAGTTGTATGAGTCAAATCATCTCTTTCAGAAGCACATTATCAAATGTTGGTTAGTAAGGCTAATAATGACAAAGACATGTCATACAACATATTGTATTACTTACAGACTAGGATGTGAATTGTTCAATTGTGCATACAAAACAATTTTGCAAAGTTTTATTAAGATCCTGAAAAATGCTATTTAGGTGAATCAGTTACCAAGTAAAGTTGAAGAACATACTTTAACTTAACATTCAGAAAAAAGAAGCCTTAAAATTCATCTATTCTAAACTTGTTATTGATTTGGTTATAAATAACAGAAATCCAACCTGGACAGATTCCATTTTTTTAAAAATGGGGAGAGAGGACAGAGAAATTTCATGGCTTGTAAAACCCGAGAATGGGGCCAGGTGTGGTGGCTCATGCCTGTCGTTCTAGCACTTTTGGAGGCCAAGGTGGGAGGATCATGTGACCCCAGGAATTTAAGACCAGCCTGGGCAACAGAGAGAAACCCTGTCCCAACAAATAATTAAAAAAAAAATTACTCCAGCCTGGTGGCACACACCTGTGGTCCCATTTACTTGGACAGCTGAGATGGGAGGACCACTTGAACCTGAGGGGTTAAGGCTGCAGTGAACCATGATCATATCACTGTACTCCAGCCTGGGTGACAGTGCAAGACCCAGAAAGAGAGAAAGAGGAAGGAAGGAAGGAGGGAAGGAAGGAAGGAAGGAAGGAAGGAAGGAAGGAAGGAAGGAAGGAAGGAAGGAAGGAAGGAAGGAAGGAAGGGAAGGAGGGAGGGAGGGAGGGAGGGAGGGTGGAGGGAAGGAGGGAGGGAGGGAAGTGAAGGAATCCATGAATGGGTACAAAACTAAATCATGGGAAGGGTACAGATACACCTGGACTTCTGAACAACTGGGATCAAGAATGTGAATGCTCCCAAGAAGAGCTCTCCAACTCCTGTCTTTTTATTTTCCTTCTGCATGTTATCACTCTTTTCATGTAAAATGAAAATGGGCCCTGAGAGTTTTCAAGTTTTACATCTTCTAGACTTTGAAGTGGGCCCGATAAATCCCCTTTTCTCATTAAATTTTTTTAAAAATAGGAAAGATCTAAGTTGGTTCAGTCACCTCCAGCCAGATTAGCCTAGTTTACATCATAGACCACCCCTGGACCAATTAAATGTGGTAAGAATGGAACAAGAAATGCGGGGTGATGGTACGGTGATAGAGGGTGGTCATGGAATGACATGGAAGATTACAAAATGGCCACACAGAGAAGAATCAGCTCCACAAGTGATTCTGACGTGTCCAATACAAACTCCATCATTTTACAGGTAAGTAAGCAGAGATGTGTTGTTTTAGCCTATTTGACAAACAAGTACAACTGGTACTAAAACAAAAATAAAAAAAGATACTACTTTGTGTATGCCCGATTTAACTCTTGCATATACAAATATTCATGTTTAATACAACTACCTTATAAAATAGGTATTAACATCCCCATTTTTCAGATGAGTAAACTGAGGTTTAGAGATAAATGTATACACAAGACTGATTCCAAAATCTATGCGCTTTCAAAATAATACTGATAGATTGTTTTTGTAAAATGGATATATGTTCATTATAAACATTTT